TTCAGCTCATGACGCAATTCGATTTTATTCGCTTAAATGAAAATCCAAACATGTTTTTGCTTGAAAGTGTCGTGACAAATTAAAATTATAAGTTACTGAAAAAATTTAAGAGGGAAAAAATTCCCCTCATCCCTCCCCCTTGGATCCTCGCCTGCAAAAAGGAACATGATTTATCCACTTTTTCGTTATCAGGTTACGACTGAAATTTTTTTCTCTGTCGAAGAATTGATGTTTTTCATTGCACTACAGTAATTTTGTCTAAACTGCGTAAATATGGGAGAAAGCAGAGGTTGGGCCCCAACACACTGAGGTTACCGGTTCATCGCATGACAGAAATGTAATTTTTGTATTGAAACATTACTTTACACTTTGAATAATAATGAAATTTGTCAAACTGTAGGAAAAATTGAAATTATATATTTTTTTTAAATTTATTTTTAAATTGCCAATTCTACTTACTGTAATATTAATATAATTATGAAAATATCAAGTATTTAACACATATTATTCGATTTAAATGTGGGGACAAAGTCTGTTATCCAATTAGGAGCTTTGATGCCTACAATTAAAGTCGTAACGATGTTCACGATTGATGACCGCGTCCAACTGATGATATGTAGTCACTATATTCAAATCGAACAAAAAAAAAAAAAAAAAAAACAAGACTCCTGATTGCGGCAAGCAACGTCATTGTTTAACGAAAGGTAAAAAGAATTATTAATTTATTTCTAAGATAACTGATACAGATTTAGGAGTACGTACTTATTCAAAACTGATTACTTTCTCCGCAGCTGTTTTTGGCCTATATCTGCGACTTTTTCTTGGAATCCATTCCACGTTGTAATTTTTCCCAGTCTGTTCACCATTGAATAATTTATCATTTATAATTTAATTATTAAAATAGTTCTTACTACACATATTTGCAATTATAAAGGATTTAAGAACTCACTCTGAATCTGATGAAATCAATAATATTCGTGATAGGAGTTCGTAATTGATAAATTAGGACCATAGATTTCTCGTACCAACTTTACAAAGGTCATTCAAAGACGTTATAAATGTCTTCGTTTTCACAAAGTCACAGACCTATCTTTCGGTGAAGGTGTTTACAAAAGCATTCCTTGTTTTTTCATGTTTAACTAAGCAGCCCTCTCCACATTAAAAAAACGTTTTGTAAATGAGACCGTTGATCACTGCAGTTTCACAGGAAGATATTTTTAAGAAAGATGCTTAAAATGATACAAAAAACAACTCGCACTGCATTCTGTTTAAAAAAACCAATTTTATGTTATTTTATTTATTATTGTGAATTCAGTTTAGTCTAAGTCATTATTGAGCGGTTTCACCTAGGTAAACCCCGCTTCGGATATGGCAATTTTTGATATTATATTA